GCGCGGCCTTGACAACGGGTGGAAGCTCATCTCGTGGTGGTAGTCCCCCAGCGCTGCCACCAACGAGGCCACCAGGAGCGGCGCTGGTCGCGGTTCCTCCCCCTTTGGCGGAAAGGGCCGAGGATGCTGCCGTGGTCGCCGAGGGCTGCCTGGTCCCGAAGCCGGACACGGAGTTCCCGTTGGTGGTGTCACCGAAGAGGCGTGTCCCGGGGCCGGGTGTGTTGAGAAAGGCGCCGGGGACGGGGCGCATGGGGGTGATTGGGTTCATGGCGGGTGGTATCGGCGTCGGTGCCGTCGCCGGGTGGTCGCCGGGTGGGCTCCTAGCGGTGCGAGGCGTGCAGCTCAAGAAGCTCCTTTGTCGCAACCCACAGCTCCTCCCCTCCTGATTTGTCCGGCGCCAATTCTCGCAGCTCAATGCGCAGGCGAGAATGCAGCATGCAGGGAGTTCGGCGGCGGTCGGATCAGCTCGGGAGCTTCGTGATGGCGCGAGATGTGGTGGTCACGGATGGGTTGGGGGTGGTTGAAGATGGGCAATGGGGGAGAAAGAGTTGCGTTCGTAAACAATTTTTGGGACGAGCCAGCCGCAGGGATCTTTGGCGCCAGACCTTGGTGGACGCGAACGCGCCGCCCTGGTGCCAAGCAACCGCAAGCTTGCGCTAGTCCCCACCTGGAGCAATTCTGCCACCGCCTTTTGGCTGCTCTGCAAGCTGCCAGGTGTCGCGGGAATGGTCTGGGCGTCACTTTCATCCCAAGTGCCTTTGATTCCACCGTACCCGCAGGTCATTCATGATTCATTTGCAAGTGCTCCGTATCCGAGTTGATAGGTATCGTCACAGGTGTCATTGACATCATCGAGCATGGAAGCTTTGGCCAGAATTACATTCAAGTCCCCGGGTTCTACAACCGGCGTTGCTTCAGCGCCCCCAACCCAAATACTAACTGATTCTTTAAACTGAAAGGACCCCAACACCCATCCCCGAATACAGCATCCGCCCTCTCAGTTCTTCTTGGCCTCCCTCTCCGCCTTGCGCAACGCCCGCCTCCGGATGTCGGCGTGCATATCCAAGTTCTTCTTCGCAACAGCACGGCTGGTAACACCCAGCGTGTTCTCAACAACCCACTGGAAGACAGCATGCGACCACCACGGCGTCTGCGTGTTGGGGAACGCCTGCGCGCCATCGAGACCAAGCTTGCTCAGGGTCGCGCGGACAAACGGCTTGGGGCTGGTGCACATGAGGCTGGTGCGGCGCACCTTGCTCATGGCAGTCGTGACCATGTAGCTGACGATGAGCTGCACATCGACGCCCGCGGGCTTGAGCTCGGTGGCCAGCGCGTTGCTCCAGTGCTGGAGGAAGGCCTTGCTGCCGCTGTAGGTGGCGAGGTACGGGGTGGGCATGACGCCGGCCATGGAGCCCATGGTCAGGATGAGACCCTTCTTGCGCTGGGCGAGGAGGGGCGCGACGACCTTGGTGGTCTTGAGGGTGCCGAGGCAGTTGACGGTGACGATGTTCTGGAGCTCCTCGCTCGAGGTGTCGAGGAAGGACACTGGGATGCTGTGCGACTGGCCGACGTTGTTGATCAGGATGCCGACGTCGAGACCGTTGAGGAGCTGGGCCAGGCGCTCGTAATCCTTGTCATCGTCCTTGGTGTAGTCCATGGTGAGCGTCTTGGTCTGCACACCAGCGTACTTTTGCTCGATCTCGGCCGCGAGGGCGTCCAGCTTCGACTGGGTGCGCGAGACCAGAACAACGTTGAAGCCTTTGGAGGCAATCTGCAGCGCAAACTCCTTGCCGATTCCGTCGGATGCGCCGGTGACGACGGCCCAGGTCCCCTTCTTGCCATACTTGCGGAGCTGTCCGAGGAAGACGTCAGTACCATGACGGCGAGGGAGGAATGACGGGGGCGTCTGGACTTACGTTGGTACCGCTCAGGATAAAGATGTTCAGCACCATCGAAAGGAAGCCCAACGCCTTCTTTGCGACCAAGAGGGCGCCCAAGCCGGCGAGCGCCCACTGGCCCCCTTGCGGGACGGCGTCCCAGAACTGTGCAATCTTCTCCATGATGCCGCCGAGTGCGTGTGCGTAGCCTCCAATGGTGGTGTCGTAGAAGGCAGTTCGAGAAAAGAAGACAAGACCGAGCTCAGACTCTCAATTTGTTGAGCATGTGAGTGGGGGAGGGGTCTCTGTTGGGATGGCAGCGGAACGGAGTACGGAGTAAATTTCGACAATTGTGATCATCGACTCCATCACCCAGTGGAGTTGTTCTCATTGGCCTCGGCCTTCGCGTTGCCTGCCGGCGCGCGTCCAGGCCCTCGGGAATACCCCTGTCGGGAAGCTCCCGCAGCTGTCTTGCTTGGCAGCATCCTTCGTCACGCTGCTGGAGAAGCTGACCCCAAAAACCCCGAGCAAAGAAAAACCACCATCAACAAAAGAATCACTACCATATCCCCAATTGCAACCAGACCGAACCAATCGACAAGATGGACGCCCTCCGCCCCTACCTCCCCTCCGCCGAAAAGGGGTACCTCCCATACTATCTCTGCCTCGTACGTCACTGACCTCCCCTCCCCCCAACCGCGTCCACCTCTAACCCCAAACTCTGCAGGTCAGCGTCATCGCGATGGGCAACGCCCTCCAGAACCTCACGACCCTGCACTACACGCGGCGCATCTACAACGCCAAGTTCGTCCAGAACCACGGCGAGCCCGAGGACAGCACGGCAGTGCTCAAGCCGGCGTCGGCGACGGGCAAGGACGCCGAGAAGGCCCGGGACCAGGTGACGCCGCTCGCCGCGCGCCTGATGGGCATCTACACCTTTTGCGCCGGCCTGATCCGCTTCTACGCCAGCTACCGCGTCGAGGACCCCTCGCTGTACCAGCTGTCCATCTGGACCCACGTCATCGCCGCCGCCCACTTCACCAGCGAGATGTTCATCTTCAAGACCATCAAGTTCAGCGGGCCGCAGGCGCTGCCGTTCATGTTTGCGTACGGCGGCTCGCTTTGGATGTTTCTGCAGTGGGATCACTACGTCCAGTGATTTAGTGGGGGCAATGTGTGTAATAAATCTCCCAACATGGAGGGAAGTCTTGCTTGGAATAGCATGGCGGACGGGCGTGTGATATTGACAGCCGCTAGGCTGGGCATCTAGTACATGTACCAATACCCATCGTCGAATCTTACCGCGTCTCCTTTACCCCACCAGCTTGCGATAGAGCTTGCTTCCGCTGTCCCGGAGCCGCGCGGCCGCCTGTTCGGGAGTGATGTCGCGCTGCGGCTCGGCCAGCATCTCGTACCCGACGAGGAACTTTCGGACCGTCGCCGACCGGAGCAGCGGCGGGTAAAAGTGCATGTGAAACCAACTCGTCTCTGCCTCCTCCTCCGAGCAATCCAGCGGCGCCTGGTGGATTCCCGAGCCTGCCAAACACCATCAGCACCGCCCATCAACAGGGACAGGGACCGCAACTTACTATACGGAAAACTCGTCTCAAACAAGTCATCATACCGCCTCGTAACCTCCTGCACCGCCTTCGCCAGCTGCAACCTCTCCTCCTCGGTGAGATCCACCAGCGCGCGAACGTGCCGCTTCGCAATCACCAGCACCTCAAACGGCCACACCGCCCACCACGGACACACCACCAGGAACCCCTCGTTCTGCCACACCACCCTTTCCCCCCTCTCCATCTCCACCCTCGCATAGTCCTCCAGCATGTGCCGCCCCTTCCGCTCCGCCCGGTACCGCCCCATCTCGGCCATCTCCCGCCCCGGCTCCTCGGGCAGCGCGCTCGTCGCCCAGATCTGGCAGTGCGGGTGCGGGTTCGAGCACCCCATCGCCGCGCCCTTGTTCTCAAAGATCTGCATGTACCGCAGCTGGCTCGCGGGCGGGGCGACCTCGCCGTCGGGGTTGGCCGGGATCGAGGCCAGCGCGAGCGCCGCCTGCGCGCGCAGCGGGTGCGCGGGCGACATGTGGCTGGCGTAGAAGCGCGTCCAGGTCTGGATGACGGGGAGGATTTCCGGGGCTGTCATGTCGGCGAGGGTGACGTTGTGCTTGGCGGAGAAGGTGAGGACGTAGCAGCGGCCGGTGACGGGCTGGGCGCGGAGGAGGAGGGACGAGGGGTCATCGTCATTGCTGGAGGTCGGAGGGTCGTAGGCTTGCTGGTCCTCCTTGACGGCGCTGTAGTCGTTGATGAAGGCGAAGGTGGATTGGTAGTAGGGGTTGGGGTCGCCTTGGGCGCGTTTGTTGCCGGGGCAGAGGTAGCACTTTGCTCATGTGAGAAGGGGTTGCGTTAGGAGGGGAGGCTGCGTACCTGCGGGTCGTGGTCGGGGAGTTTGGCTTTGGAGAGTTCTTCTTGCTGGCCTCTGGGTTGGATGTCTGTCAGTGTTGGCGCCGGGATGGGTGGGGGTGATGTCACACTCACTGCCATGGACGCTTGGTGCGATGAGGGGACACCAGCAGCCATGACCCGGTGAGGGGGTTATAGCGGCGGTGGGAGATGTCGTTGAGAACCTCGTCTGTCATTGTAAAGAACTCTAGATTGTTGGTGGAAAACAGAGGTCAATGGGGGAAGAAGAGACCGGTTGAGTGCAAAGGGGTGGCGGTATTGACTGATGGAGCCGTTGCCCCTCCAAATGATGATGGTTTGGGCACCTTGTACAGATGGCGGGGCAATTGGAGGACAGGTGAAAACAAGGCAGTTCTGACTACCAGCAGTTAAACGGGTCTCATTTTTATGAATTCAAAATACTGTCCTCAAGCTTGAGAGGGAATTACACCGCATATGGTCGAATTTCTTCATATTGTTTAGTCTTTCACTTGAACAGCCACCCTGTTGTAGCTAGGAGATGAGTAAGGGGCAACAACTACGATGCAAGGTTCGGGGACCCGCAGACCTCTGGTCTCGAAATATAATGTAAAAACAATGTAAGTTACAAAACACCGCGGAAGCAATGAGATCATCTAGGTATTCCATGCCCAGTGGCACTGGCAAAAAGTGCAAAAAGAAACTCGGATACGGGGAGTCGAACCCCGGGCTGCTGAGGACTTCTAGATCCATATGAATCTCTGTTGAGAGTCAGCGATGTTACCGCTACACCATACCCGATTGAATCGTGTATGATCCCGATTTGATGGAGTGGGTTTGCAGAATCACGACTCAATACAGTCGATTGCTTGGGTATTTGCCCATCAGGCAAATTGTGTACTGGCCGGCCAAATCCCCCACCCATGACGTGTGAGGTCTGTATTCTTGATTCCCGCCTGGACGCAGTGTTTCCCCACCGTCTTTCGTGTCCCATTGTCACCGAGCAATTACAACTTGCTGCCCCCCTCCTTCTTTGCTCTCTCTCTCAAGTCCCTCCGGAGGATCTTGCCGCTGGGGCTTTTCGGAATCTCGGGAAGAAACACCACCCCGCCACGCAGTTTCTTGGGGTTCGACACTTGGCCATTGACCCATTCGACAACCTCCTGTGGTGTGATGTCTTTGGTGCTGGGAACGACATATGCGCTGGGGGTTGGACCGTTAGCAGGGATCATCGAAACATATACCATTCGCCATACCGTGGAACCTCCGTATCATCCCCGGAAACACCGATGACGGCGGCGTCGAGAATCTTGGGATGGCTGACCAGGAGGGCCTCGAGTTCTGCTGGCGCAACTTGGGAGCCCTTGTACTTGATGAGTTCCTATGTTGGGGTCAGTCACAGAAATTCCAACCACCAGCTCGTTCAACCGCACCTTCTTTCGATCGACAATGTAGAAGAGGCCGTCCCGGAATAGGCCAACATCGCCAGTCTTGAACCACCCGTCACTGAACGCCTCGTTCGTCGCTTTCTCGTCCTTCCAGTAGCCCCTTGTGACATTTGGCCCTTTAACCCAAATCTCCCCCGGTTCTCCGACCTCGACGTCTCTCCCGTCGTCATCCACAATCCTGGCGCTCCCGTTCGACAACAACCGCGACACGCTCCCCGTCAAATCGTTTTCCTCGCCGCGAGGCATCACGGTCATCGATCCTGTCGTCTCACTGAGTCCCCACGTCTGAGTAAACTGAACCTTTCCTTTCCCGAGCTTTTTCTGCACCGCCAACTGCAGCTCCCTTCCCATCGGCGCGGCCCCCGAAACCGCGTACAGCAGCGAGTCGAACTGGTCCGTCACACCCGGAAACTTGGCAATGGCAAGGAACACGGGCGGAACCGAAAAGAAGGACGTGATGGCGTACTTTTTGTTGTACGCCAGGAACTGCGCAAAGTCGAACCGCGGCATCCAGTACACCGCGCCTCCAGCATAAAAGAAGTTGACAAGATAACCCTGCACGCCCGCGATATGGGCGGCGGGGAGATGTGCCAGCGTACGCTTGGAGCTGAGATGGAGCGGGTCGGTCTCGCGGCTTGCGTCGAGGACAAGCGAGGCTGACGAGACAAGGTTGGTGTGGGAAAGGAGGCATGCCTTGGGTTTTCCGGTCGTGCCGCTGCTGAAGAGGACGCAGACGATGCTGTTCTCAAGCGCGGTCGGATCCGTGATGCGGGCCCAGTCAAGGAGGTTGGGTGACAGGGGAATGGGCTTGCCTGTCGAGGCATGAGAGAGCGAGAACGAAGCACCGTTGCCGATGACCAGAACGCGGGAGGGAGGGAGATCAGTTAGGTTCGCCGCCGCGAGGGCAGTCGCTTTGGTATCCTCGGTGCACACAATGATCTTGGCGTCGACTTGGAGGACCTGGCCGGCGAGCTCCTTGGGAGTCGAACCGGGGTTGGACGACGAGAAGACTCCTCCGGCAGCGATGGCGGCGAAGAAGATGGTGGGAAGATGCCAGTGGCCAGTGGCGATCAGCAGGATGGCGTCGTTGTTGGGGCCATCTTTGCCGATGCCGTAGTCATTGCGAAAGGTGCTGGCGAGACGTTTGACGAGGGGACGTAGCTCGGCCTTGGTGATGGCTTTGGTCGGGTCCGCCGCGTCGATATGGAGAACTGTGTCTTCCTCGGCGGCGCAGTGTTTGGACTCTGTGGAACAATAAAAGTCAGTGGCGATCCCTGCATTGGTGGTGGTGATGGAACAGACCGAACAAGACCGTGAGCAGGTCAAGTTGAGGAAGTTGACGGGTCTGGGAGGAGCGGTAAATGGTGCCCGAAGCTGTTTTCTCAACCACGGTTGCCATTTTGTTGTCCCCGGGAATTGGGGCGTCCTTGGTGTAGATAGTGGGGGACTGTTACTAGAAGAGACGGGAGGTGGCGTCCAGGAGCGTAACACAACGGAGGAATCGGGTGACGATGGAATCCGGAGGGGGGAAAGCGTTCCGAGCTGAGCTTTCCTCTTTACCGTCTCACTTGGAAGTTGACCAACATTTCATGTATCGTCACTTCCATCCTTCCTGGAGACTCCTTAAGAGGGGGTGAGCGATCGTCTCCAACCCCAACATGCCTCGGCTGTACATGGACTGGAAGGGACGCTGGGTGCGGGGAAGTCGATCTTGGAGTATCGATTCCGGCATCCCTCCGCGCTCGTCCCCCTCTTCCCCAAAGACCAGGAACTGCATTGTCACGAGTTCTCCAAAATCTGTCTTGATTCGTTGGGAGAAAGCGGCGAATATCGATGAGGTGGGGGCGGTTGGGGTGACAGAGAATGAGGGGCCTCGGGGCCTCGGGGCCTCGGGGCCTCAAGGGTGGTGCGGCTCACTCTTGTGCGACTGTTTTGACGGCGTCCCCAAAACCAAGATCCAAGACCGGGCATGGATGATCGCGAGTTTTCCAAGAATATGTGGTGGTGTTGAGTGTTTTGAGAGAGCCAAGCAAGTCTCCTTTCAACGCAAATACGTATACTACACCACCCCCTGAATATCCCTATGGCAACGCGACAGCCAGTCAGCCAGACCCCCTTCTCTGCGTCAAATGCTGACATGAAAATTATGTGGACCAAACAGCATTCAAGCTTCTCTTGTTGGGAAGATCTGGAAATGCACCATCTCCATTTCTTGCTGTTGGCCGAAGAAACAGAGGTTAGGTAGGGCCACGTATGTGGAAAGCTGCGGGAATCCCATGACACTGTTTGGTGGCAATTTTGAAGGGGGTAAATGGTTGCGATGTATCCGTACTCCGTAAACTCGTGGGAGATGCTTGTTGATGGGGAGGGCGAAGGCGCTCGCCCATGACAGAGTGAAAATTTAACCACCCAAATCCAACACCCTCCCCATATAGCCCCCAATACCAAACCATCCTGTCACCAGTACCCCCACCTCGATGATTTCCCACACCAACGGTCCTATGGCCTAGTGGTAATAGAGGTCCTGGGTATGCGGCCCCAAACTCTCCGCGCCAGCGCCTTAGTGGCCATGAGTTCGAACGTAGGTAAAAGCCCTCTCTCGACTGGACTTTTCGTATCCCCCGGCCTTGGCAAGCCGGGGGAGAGCTTTTGTTTGTATTCCCAACTTTGTTTCTTTTTGTATTTCTTTTACAGGTGGTGTCATCTTCACCACTACCACACGGATGCCCATCGGTTTACCGAGGACGGGACACAAATATCATTTCTTGCCTTTTGGAACACCCCCGAGTTCAACAGAGACACGCAATCCGGCTTACACAATACAGACACGGGCAGCCGCCGAACGGCGGTCCGTCAACTGACTGCCTGCCGCCCAGCACAGCACGCTGACTGAGCGACATGCCGTCCAAGGCTCGTTTCGAATGCGATTGCAATTGGTTCTGGTGAAGACGGGCCGGCCCGTTCACCCCTTTTGCGAGATGGGGATTCCACACTCGCACGGCCTTTGGGGATCTTGCGAGAGTCGTGTGAATATTTGCGACGCCGTAACAGGTATGTCGATCGCAGCTCACCGTCGGATCTGAATCTCGAAGACTCGAACATCAGATGCTTTGTCATGAACCTGACAAATGTCGTGGCAGACGACTTCTCGAGACGGCATTCCATCTCCGATGAGCTGTTGCGAGACAGATCCGTCCGTGGACGGCGGAGGAGACGGCGTCGTGCGTCGTAGATAATGGGAGTCCAGGTGAGACAATAAGAGCGATGATGTATCCGGAGTCTTGAGTTCAAGCACCTCGGATCAGCAAGCTCCTCACAGTTCCAACAAGCAGCGCAACACCTCGGACCACCACCCCCACCGTCACCCGCAACCTTTTCGGAATGGGCCCTGACACTTTCTCCCTCGCCGGCAAGGCCGCCATCGTAACCGGGTCCGGTCGCGAGAACGGTATTGGCGCGGCCATCGCCCAGACTCTCGCCCGTAACGGCGCCCGCGTGGTTATCAACCACGTTTCTGACCCCTCGGCTCCCCGCGCTGCCAAGGTCGCCGCAGGTATCAAGTCCATCGGGGCCGAAGCCATCGTCGTCCAAGCCGACGTATCCACGCCGGAAGGCTCAGCCAAGCTCGCCAATGAGACCCTCAAACGGTTCAACACCGAGAGGATCGACATACTCGGTATCAGCCCCCCATCCATATCAGTTGGGGTCAAGTAGGAGTTGACCTGTCAAAAGTGAACAACGCAGGCAGCGGTTCCGCCCAGGGCGTGTCAATCTTTGACCTTACCACCGCTGATATTGAGCGTGGGTTTGCCGCCAATACATACAGCACGCTGTACGCGGTGCAGGCCGTGGCGCCGCATATGCCTCGGGGCGGCCGCATCGTCAACATCGGCAGTGTCATCTCGCGGGTACGCAACGCGCCGGGCTTGGCTGTTTACGGCGCGAGCAAGGCGGCGCAAGAGTATCTGACGGGGGCGATGTCGTTTGAGGTACGGCGATGATTGTTTCCTGTTTCTCTTTCCATCCGGTGACGAGGGGGATGAATCATGCGAGCTGACGGGGTCCGATCTAGCTGGGGACGACCAAGGGCATCACTGTCAACACAGTCGCGCCGGGACCGGTGGGAAATACGGATGCGAATGACTGGTATCCGGATGGCGATATGAAGACGGATGTCGGAGCCAAGTTGGTGGTTGGGGCCAAGCTCGGGAGAGTCGCTGGAGAGGTGGATGAGATTGCGGATGCGGTGCTGCTGGTTGTGTCGGAGCAGGGACGCTGGATCACGGGCCAGTACATTGCAGCGAGCGGGGGGATTACCGAGTGAGGGCATCGGAAAATATGTCATTGAGGTTG